AATCCGAATCCCAATGTCACAGCCACATCCAACACCCCAAAAACACCTCTCTCCAAACGCTAATTCATCCCAATGTGACTGCGCAGAAAACAGCGAATCTCACAAAACGCTGTGCCTGCGCAGTGAAATCATCCTCCACACTTCAACATCTTACGTTTCCGTACGATTCCTCGCTATTTCACACGAATCCGGCACGTCACGTTTCCATCCGAAACCCTCTCCAAAAGCTTCCCCCAATGGTAGCGCCTTAGCGCCCTAGAACGGATGCGGACGGTTGCGAATGCTGAGACAACGGGTTGCACCCCAGATCCCCAGAGTTAAACGAGAACCCTTCGCTACGCTACGCATTCGGGGAAAAATGTTTCGTTCATCAACAGTCTACACTCGGTTGTCCATTCAGGATCCTTTTTGAGATGCCTTTGATTTTTGTATCGAATTTCTCAAGCTGCTCAAGCGGATGTCCGGGGAGATCTGAAGAAGGTTCTGCAGCCTAGCAATTTCAAACCATGTTCCAACAAAGGCATGATTGGAGGGAGGTCAATAAGTTCCGTGACCTGCGTTTATATAGTTCTTTCAGATTAACGCTGTGTGACTTGCTTGCATCCACAAGGGCATTCAACGGTTCATCAACCACAACCCTGCACGGTCCCGCGCTCGCCCACTCACTTTGCCACGCTGTGCCGCGCGCGCCTGCGTGCTGAAGCACTTGAAGCCGCTGTGCGAGTTCAGCCCATTGCTCCTCGGGTCTTTACCGACTGTGGACGACAGACGAGTTTTTGGGTGGTTTGGAGTCAGGAACCGCTTGCAACCTTATCAAAGTTCATGTGACAGCGCTGCTCCATGAGGTGGGCCACGAGGGGCTGAACTAGGCACAAAGGGCTCGTGGGATTGCCTGCGGGTTTGACAAACATACAGTAACGTTTGCAGAAATATAACTTTGGCTCAATGAAGAACCATGACTTGATAACACGTACTGTGGCCGTGCATCATCACACCTTGGGCAACAACTCTTTCTTGATACAAACATCCCAGGCGATGCAGGCTGTAGAGCCTACATAGACAGTCGTAGTAAAAACATGAACACATCCCCGGTACAAGTAGGAAAAGGTATCAAAAAGTAAGTCAGTATGCTTGTGGGCGGAAGAATTTGCGGTGCTTCCTGCCGTTTCCTTGTGGTGTAACCGTTCCTTCATTCAGGTTTTGGACAGGGACGATCCTGAGGAGCTCTATTATTTCTTATGTGAGGTACAGGGTCCCTCTCCTCTAATCCAAGTTTGGTCAATGTCCCTCTCCTTCCGAAAGTTGGGGACACACCCTCTGACTCTCCCATCCGCTCTCCCTCTCTCTCACTCTCTGCCCGCATGACCTGGACCACTCTTCGCTGGCGCCATCCGTCCTCATGAAATTGCTCCACCTCGACCGGCACACCAGCCGCGCTCTCCGCCGCTTGGGCTGTCTCTGTTGCGCTGTTCTCCACGTCCGCCGCATCTGCGTCCGCGGAGGGCATGGTGGGTTCCTCCTCCTTCTTCTTCTTGCGGTTCCTGGAGTTGTAAAGGATCAAGGACCAGTGGATCCAAGACACAAGGTAACACGCCCCCGCACAGCCGTGTGCTTGTGACATGTATTGTTTAAAAAAAGGTGTTTTCGTTGTATAGTTTTGAAAAAGGTCGTTTGAGGCCTATCAAGAGAGGAAACAAACAATTTTTTTAAAGCTTGTGCGCATGATCTTCGAAAGCGTGCAAAACGCAAATAGCCCCGTACCCAACCCCACCCCCCCAACCCACCCATCTTCCAAAGCATCTGTGGATGTGGCATCATCTTCCAAGCATATCCAACACACTACCACCCACAAGTGCAAAAATCCGAAATACAAAGGCATTTCGGTCCAAGCGGGCAAAAAGGAACTGTGAACAAGTACGAAGAAGAAAGAGGTTGCTCTGATTCAACATAACAAAATGCTCTTCCGTTAAAATGTAAAGGTGGCAACTTCCACGCCTATTGCAACGACATCGAACAAACTCATCGTGGTTTGAAAAGTGCAGGGCTACTAGCGCCGTCGTCAATCTGCTAGCATTGAAATGCACGTCGTTTTCCCATCATTTTCCCCCATTGGCCCTGCGGAAATCAAAACACATTGCAAATACCACACAAAATTGGGAGCAATTGCTCAAAAAACGGCAAAAGCTTACGGCGGTGACGGGGCGCGACACCAAAAGCAACGGGGTGCTCCAAAATGAACAACGGAAGCTAGTGACTAGCGCCCCCAAATATACCCTATTGAATTTTTAGAATACTCATAGATCATGACCTTGGCACGTCTGGCGCTTGCACGTCCCGCGGCCTCCCAAGCGTTCCACCATAGATCCATCTGTACTTCAGATTGTAAAGCTGACTTGCTGAATCTTATGGCCATTTGGCCACCAAGTGGTCTAACAGATATCTAACACAAAGCTCCGTCAAAGGACAATGAGTGGGGAGGGTGTGTGAAGTGCTACAAACCTCTCAATTAAGAACGATCTAGGTACGCTTTTAAAGACAAGAATCCACAGTTTATCAGATGTCTTTCCCACCACCCCAGCCAGTTCCCATCCAGTTTGCAAGCATTCAAATTCCAACCCGCTCAGTTTGGTCGGTTCATGTGTGGACCAATGACTGGGGAGTATGTTTTGCTAAGTCTGCTAAGTAGGCGCGTGGTCAAAGTGGCAAAGCGCTTGACCTGCGCACCGGGAAATCCTTTTATGCAGGTCAGTCTCTTGCTTTGGTTGGCTGAAACCTTGAACGTGACTGAAATGTCCCACCTAGTTGCCCTCCGCAATAGGTGTGAACGAAAGCCCTTTGAAGAAGCAATCACTAACATAGTAAAAAAGTAGAATATTATATATACACATGTACGTATATATGTGATCTATATATATACACACACACACATGTCTCAAACTGGGAAGACCCGCAACTCGCAAACAAGGGGTTGTCATCTACTTCTCTTTGAAGAAAGACCTTTGTGTATTGTTTCCAGTTGAACTTCTTCTTGTGCAAATGTTTTTTGTGGCATCATGACCCTGTGGTCATGCTGAACTTCACACAGTCAGAAAGGCTCACCCACTCTGACTTTCTAAATTCCTTCTAAATTCATCACGATCAAAACCATGTAGATCCGGCGCAACCCCCGAACCCTGAGAAGATCCAACGGCGACCACTGGACCCGTCATCCAAATCCAAGTGGCTGAAGCCGCATCAGGGCGGCCATGGCGCTATCTTCCGGCGCCTGGAGAGGCAGCGCTGGGGCGACACACCTCTGGCATCGTGGCTTTTCCTTTTACGTACAAGTACCTGTATTTAAGTTACTTACCAGCATGTACACACATAGTTGGATGCGGAGGTTGTCCAGATCTTCTTGGATTTGCTGAGGGAACTGGGAAGGAATAACGCATACTCCCCAGAAGGGGTTTCACCCAGACGGAACATTCAGAATCACCAAATCAGCAAAGCCAAGTCTTAAAAACTTCCAGGCAAAGACCCTTCTTGGTGTCGATGTTCTCTTAAACATAGAAATTTCGAGGAACGGACCCGAGTTAATCCTCTTGAGTTGGCTAACCGCTTTTTGTGACCGATTTTTTGATGGCTTCCGGGTGGGGCTGTGTGGAACATGTCTGCCGAGTGTGTTCTTAGCGTCCAGAACTGTCATTTTCCCTGGAAACTGCAACAGGATGCGAAATACTATTGGGTTGAGTGGTGAAAACAACCGGTGACCCTTTGTCCACCAGTTCATTATTCGTTTTTTTCCCCACCCGTAGGACTGTGGGGTTGTTAGATTTTTAGAACTTTGGACTTCAGTATGCCCGGTAGCCCAACTTAGCTCTTCCACAGCA